TTTTAAAGTTTTGACGAATATATCAACAATCGGAGGTAGGTGGTAGCCCAGTAGTTTTGAAGAGGTAAATGAACATACCAATGCAAGTTTTTTCAAAAGAAAAGTAACTTCACCGAGGTCTTCTTCTTCAAATTCATCTTTGGTAGAAGGATCAATATCTGTCAACAATTGCGTCATATGGCTTCTTTCTTTACAAACAGCATCGAGAATTCGTCTGCAACTGCGACACAACCCTAAAAATTAAATTTTGACGGCTTATTCCCTTGTGATTTTAACATGTACTAAAAAYCTGAACTACTTCTCAGTAAAGGATCATGAAAACCAAACCCTTTATATTACATAAAGTGGGGGAAAGTTTATTTTTATGAGAGAATTTCTTCAGGGGCGGGTCCAGGGGTGGGTTGAGTGGGGTGTTGTAAGCCCCCGAACAAGCCCTATATATACTGATGTAAATTTCGTTTTCTTCAAACATTTTGCTATGAAAATGTGCTCGCGGGATTAGCTAAGCTACTTTCACTAAACTTATAGGCCKGCTGTTCAAAAGATCCTATATCGAGCTTTTCCCTTGTATTGCCATTTATTGTAGGGTTTTTTTTTTTTCCCGCCAAAAATGAAAGTCGGTAAACWAATAATCAATTAGCTAAGGCGACACCGGCTTATCTAGCGCGATCTTCATGTTACATTTCAATTCTGGTTGTTTTGTTACAAAAACATTCGAGATTTTGCTCATGAATTAAAATGCCATTTCAGAAAAGCCACCGATTATATTCTAAATACATTAGGATATGCAAACAAGTGCAATTTAAAGCCAATACTTTAGACCGAATCGAAGATCTCGTGCAAATGACCGGACTGAGCCGAGCGCCAGGATATAGCGCGATCCGCCGGGAAAAGCCATAAATAAATATTCGAGAAATATTTGAGGGAAGCAGTTGAAATGTGCTAAATGGTCCCTTTTTTTACCCCCTAGATAATGTTTATATAATATGTACTTATAGGTTGACTCACCTGAACCAACTGCTATAAATTTTCCGGTTTTTTCCAGAATTACTTCAGAGAACGTCTTTCCAATTCCTCACTCTCCTTTAGGCCATTTTCTTGGATTTGAACTATTGTGATTCGAAATTTCAGAAGGAACTTGGCACTTCTGAGAACAGCGATACCATCCGAGACCAAGCGTAAAGCGATGTAAAGGGCAAATTGTTAAATCATTTAAAAGGCTTGGTGATATCGAAAATATAGAGCAACGAGCAAGTATTAGTTCCACTTCATTTTCGACATCAACTATACCGTAGGACCTCTTGTGACATGTTATATCTTTTTTACAAGACGCCAAAGGAATTATTTTGCAAGATTTTGTCTTATCTCTTGAAGCATAAGAGCACTTGCTACTTACATACAATTGGATACTACAACAACCAAGTGAGCTTTCTGCCATTGCGTCGAGAGGTGCAAACTAATTTTTGCTAGTGCAGAATTATGGGAAACGCAAAGAACTTTAAAATCTTTTAATGGGGCACTTATACTTTATAGACATCATTTTTTGGAAGTGCAGCTATTTGCCCATGTAATTTTTTCGTCGGAATTTAATTGTTGAAACAAAAACTTGGATTTTAAACGCGAAACCAATCGCGGATAGCGGGATTTTTCAAGAGATTGGAGATTCCATTTACGCCATTCCGGCATTGCCATTATCGATACTGAAGCAAGTATTATTACGACGAAGTCTGGAAGGTCCATAAGCAGAATGAAAAAGGCTGTGAAAATTAATCTCGGGCTTCCTCAAAATGAAATCTTAGTCTAAAGAAAATACTTTGATGCGAAATTAGGCAATTTCCAAATACCTCTGCAAGGAACCGTAGAACACTTGTCATTCTGTGTTGAAAAGTGAGTTGGATTAAAGGTAATATACGCATTGTCTCAGGTCAGTATTACGGCGAGCAAAAATTATAAAACCCCGAAATTCAGTACTAGGTTTAAACATTTAAGCAATTTATCTTTTAGTTCGGATCACCCAGTTATATTGTGGTTTTTTAAGCCTTGGTTTTGACATAAATCTAACAATTTTTTAGAACTCGTAAAGTACTAATTTACATGTTATTTGGGAGTTTGTAAATTATCATATAAGTCGTGCCGTCGCATGTGTTTACATGCTTGTTTCGAAGTGGTACTAAGGTTCACAGTATTTTAAACGTACTAATGTCGAGAAAAGGCAAAGAAATACAATGTATTGCACTCAATATTCAACAAATAAAATTATTAAATCAAATGTCAGAACTGCATATATTGAAAAYATAGGCCGGTTAGCTCTGTCTGCCTCGAACTGGTTTCATTGTAATGATTGGATGCAAACCCCTAACAAGCCAAATTTATCCGAATTCGAGAGTTTCGTATATCGCGCTCATTTAATAACCCAAGCTGAATTTTACATATGATTTAGCTTAACATTCGAAGGTATTATGGTTGGAATTTCAGATAAATCCGAACACCCGGTGCACATGAAAATGCGCTTTGCAAACTAAGGGTGAAATTAAAGTCTCTGAAAACCCGAAAAATGTAGTTTGTAAATAGTCCCTGACGACTTATTAGATCGCGTTTCCCTATTCATATCTTAGCTTAAAATAATCATTAATCTTTCCTTTACCATATTCCAAAAACAGATCTTCTCTAGTTTGCTTCATTTTTATACGCGAGCGCTTTTTCCAGACCTATCATTTTCACCTCGAATTTAAGCTGAATAGAGGGCGCCGAAGGCCAAAATGGATTTTCTCGATTTTCTCAAAATAAAAGTGAAATTTTTCAAAATAAACATCAGTACGTTTATTTAGGTGGTATTTCACGTCTTTGGACCAAATATGAAACATTGCCTCATAAACGCTTTCACATTACAGAAACAGCTCTAATCAACGTGCATGACCACATTATTAATGCAATTGATAACAAGTACTACGTCATATTATTATTACTAGATCTTTCTGCAGCATTGGACACTGTTGGACATAACAATCTACTATGTCGGATGTATCAACGTTTTTGTATCGCAGGTAAAGCGCTGCAAGGGACCACACTGAACTATGGCGTCCCTCAAGGATCAGTTTTAAGTCCGATTTTATATTTAATGTACACTTCACCACTCGGTGATATTGTGAGACGACATGTTTTGTTGTGCCACTTCTATGCGGACAATACACAGATATGCTGTTCCTTTACACCAGAAAACAAGAGTACTTCAGTATCAGTAGTTGAAGCCTGCATCAAAGAAATTGACGAGTGAATGTCTAGAAATCAACTAAAACTAAACAACTATAAAACAGAATTACTTGTAATAGGATCAAAATTCAAAACATCATGTGACCTTGACGGCATCAGAGTTTGGGATGAATATGTGAAAGCCTCAGTAAAGCCTTTTTGCTAGTGATGAGTTTCTCACTACTAAACAGATAGCTAGCTTTTTTTCACGAATGGTATCTAAGCGCAACGTTGACAATGACGAAGAGCCGATGAGTGATGACGAAGAACTAGATGAAATGCAATGCCAGTCTGACCTTCAAGAACTGAAGAACAAACTTTTATCAAACTGATGCGACCCAGGTTCGATCCCTCGAGGGGGGGGGGGGGGGGGGGGAAGGGGGGGGATGGCAAGTGGGCCAGTCCCTGGAAACATGGCGACTTTATAGACGGCGTTTTTCCTTTTTTGTTTTGTAAAATTAAAGCATAAAACGTAATAACGTCTTTCTATAGTCTTTTTTTATTCTGTGCTCCCTCTATTATTTGGGTCCCCCTTTGAAAAAATACTTGAACCCCTTTTATAGTTAGGGCCCTTCTTGTAATTATTGTTGCATTAATCTGAAGAAGGATCTCACTTGTTTGTACATCACAAGTACTGAATTTCAGCGTTTACTGCACTATATACACGTCATTTCAGTTACTCACCAAAGTAATATGTTCCATGTCGTTCGACAAGGCAGTAACATCTTGCGAATCAAAAATGGATCTACAGTATCTGCAAATATCTAGAGTTATATAAAAAAAGATAAAAAAGTGGAGTGTCAAACTAATCAGTCACAATACCCCCCTCCCCCCAACACCCCCCTATCCCCTCCCTCCGACCCCTCCGACCCCTCCGACACCAGATATCCAGGCTATGTGTCTTGACTGGTCGACAGTCTCAGTTCGTGCCTACTGTGATCATTCCTTACAAATGTGAACTTGAATTTCAGCAAAAGCAGTTACCTGAGCCAACAGGAGCAAGTACTTCTGTTTTGTGAAAAATAATCTTGGACACTTCTTTTCCTATTCCTTTTTCTCCTTTGCTGGTGGTCTTATGCTTTGCCAGTTCTTCTGGTACTCTGCAAATGTTCTTCCTCCTGCGCCATCCAACACCAAGTTCTGAACGGTGATATGGGCAAATGTTTAGGGCACTTTTATCCTATGCGCGTAAAAGATACCGGCTCGATTTCTCTTCGTTATCAATACCAGAAAAAGTCTAGGTGAACTCGAACTTATGTTTGGCTATTTCTTCCAAGAACTACTATTCAGTAGCGCTTTGAAAAATTGGTCTGAAATATTCAACAGATCGGCAAATTTTGCGAGTGACTGTCATAGATATACCGAGAAAGCATTCCAGCGTGCAGATTGTGTCGTGGACCCATAGTGTACCGACCACCATTATTTTTTATTATAAAATGAAGGAGAAATTTGTCTTTCAACAAGCTGGCTCCTTACAAGTTAGAATATCCTGTTGGAATCTGTAGGAATCGAATTTAGTATACTGTTCCGTATATTTCTTATAGAAATCTGAATAGTTATTTGTAAAGAAACACGAACTGTCGACTGATACTGATAGATGGTATTTTCGGAAATCGGTTGTAAACAAGCCAATGGTTGCCAATTCTAATTTCTTAATAATGGAGCTCCCGCGCGGTCCGAAGGCCTGCGCGAGCGGAGCACCATACTTAAGAAAAAACGGTAAACCATCGAGTTGATTTTTCATGGCTTGGCTGACGTCACTTCCGTCCGTACGTTCGCCTCCTATCGCGGGGACCCATCGGCAAACGAAGAAGACTTTTATTCAATAATTTTATATCTTTCTACAGATAATTTATTTAATTATTGAATGAAATATGAATTTACACGAAATATTCAACTGTTTATTAAGCTGTTCGAGCAAGATGATGATTGTGAAAATGAGCTTAAGAGCAGTATTCAGTAAATACCAAGAAAATATAAAATACCTTGGCAGGGCAACCTCACCAAATCTCATAATATTCCATGCACAAATAGGCATTGAGGCACTATTCCAAAAAATGCTAATAGATTTTTGAATCTCAACATTCCTGATTTTTTTAGGGCCATCAACTCTTGAGGTGGTTCATGACCCAAATTTCAAAATCAATTTAATGGATAAAACCAGGTCACCAAAACAACATTTTTAGTTTGATATTCAGACTTTTTCGGGTTTACCATTGAAATACATCTTCGCTTGAACACAAAACAGCATTTTAGCAGAAATTAATAGCATTTTCTAATTTTGGGCTTCCTGTGTTAGGAGCCATGTTTTGCTCGGTTATTAAAAAGCTGAAATTGTTCAAATTCAAAGCGCTCTAGCTCCCTGGCCATACATCCAAATGAAATGATTTTAAGTTTGCAAACAAAGCAAGTACTCGATTTCGAAAATCCAGAAGGGCAGCTCTGGCAAGGCAAATTTTGCCTAAAAAATCCCATGTTGAATACACCATGATTGCGTGAAAATACAAAATCATACCCGCATTCGATATCAAAAGTATTTCTTAGTTAACAAAATATCAAAGCAAAACCAGTTGAAAAATGACAACAAATATCTATATTTTCAATTTGTGTATTGTTTATGTACATAAATGTCACAAATTTTGCAATTTGAGCCCATTTATAAGCACAA